CCCACCCTTTCTTGAAGAACTCTTTGCTGTTTTCTTCAAGAGCGGGGAGCACGTCATCGGCAAACTCCTCCAGAAGTTGTTGCTCCGACTTCCGGGTCAGCTCCTCGGCTCTGATCCTATCTAGCTCCTGGGTAAGGGCCAGGCAGCTTTCCTCGGAGCCCACTGCCCTCTCCTCCGCCGCAGAGAGCCGCTGCGTTTGCTCAGTAATCCTCCTCTCAGCATCGGCAAGTGCGGCACTTAGCTTCTCAGCGCCCGACTTGGCCGATTCAGCGTCCTTGAGGAGTTGCTCTATCTGGGCAGCCTGCCCCACCAGGGTGGAATCCCTGGCAGCAACATCTTCCGTTGCCCGAGCAAGGGCAGCTTCCGCTTCTGCCTTCTGATCCTTGGCCCTCTGAAGATCCATCCTGGACGCGTAGTACCGGCCAGCAATGATAGAAATCTGCTGGGTAGCCTGTAAAGGAAGGAAAAGAGTGTTAAAAACACAAAAATAGAAAACGAGAGTGAAGAGATCAAAACAGGAATAAACTCACCACCAGGGAATTCTGGATCATGGAGCGGAACAACACGTTGGTTGATCGCCCCCTATGAGCCTCCATGTCGGCCTCGAAATGCAGTGTCTCACTCACTGCATTAGCGACATGAGGATCCGACAGAATAGAATCATCGACCCTGATCACTCTGTTCATGTGATCAGTGGCTCGAGGATTCCACTCTGCGGCCTCCCCCCGAGGCGGAACGGGAGGGGGGTCTGCTGTTGCTGTTGCTGTTGTTGCTGCTGCAGCTGTAGCTGTTGTCGGGGCTGCTGTTGTTGTTGCTGTTGTGGGGGAGCAGGCGGTAACCCACGATCCCTCCCGCTTTGAGGTTGAGCGGGAGATGCCCTGGGTCCTCGGCTGAGGCCGTCATGCCGATGCTTTACCCTCCTCTCTTCTTCCACCTGAGGATCCCGGTCTCGCACCTGACCCTGACCGGGAGCCCTCGAAGAATTGGCGGAACTGGTTCCTGCCGGAGTACCGCCGGTCGCCCCTCGGCCTCTCCCGGCTGCGAGGGATTGCCTCTGCCTAAGAAACCCCAAATTGATGCGTGGGGTGTTGGACATCGCTTCCTCGAGAGCGTCTTCGGCGTCCAAAGTTTGGAGAATTTGAAAATCCGGCCACAGGTCGCCTCCCGAAGTCCCCACCTCGGCGTCCGAAGGAGCAACGTCCTCTCTGGCCCCGACCTCAGCAACTCCTTCTACCTCTCCCTCTGAAGCCCGATCCGGGTCTTCCTCCAAGTTCTGCTCGACCTCTAACCTCGCCGCCTGATCAAAGAGCTCTGACCACTGTGAAGGCTCGAAAGGTTGAGGGAGCTGTGAGAACTTCTTATACCCGGGGGTATAGTGCAGCAAATTATGGGCAGCTCGGCCAAATCCGTCGGCGCCCGTGAAACTCCAAACCGTTATTAAGTCGGCAAAATTGACCAGCGACCGAGGGGGTGGAGCTGTTTCCCGAGAAGGAATACCTGCACAACAAAAAAGATTGTCATAAACATGAGAAGTCCCAAGAAACAAATAAAAAGACCCAAAGGAACCGACGTACTTGTCGTTCTCCATTCCCGAGGGCAAAATAGGTCATTGTACTCGGGACCGACACCCCTCTCCCAACATCCCTTGAAGATCAAGATGTCGTCCTTGTACCCCTTGTCCGAGTCAGGAAGATGGGTTACAAGGTACATAGAGGGGTCCCTGGCTTTGAGGTAGAAATGTTGGTGGGGCATGACTCTTAGGAGGGAGTAACAGAAAAGGAGATCGTTGAGCCCAATATTCACCCCGAGGCGCCTATTGAGCTCTAGGACCCCCATAATTATCCGAAAGACGTTGAGGCAGCATTGCCCGGGGAAGAGACGGAAGCGAGACAGGAACTGAAGAAGCAGGGGGGGTAAAGGAAACCTAATGCCACCCTCTATGATGGCCTTGGTATAGAAAGGCATGGCATCCGCGGCCCCGAAGGTAGGAGAGTTCAACAAGGGGTTAAAGCCCACTACGTCCACGCTCGGGGGGATGCCATACTTCGCCCTGAACCTATCGATCTGCGCCTCGCCTGTCACCTTGTATTTCCCTGACCCCGAGGGACCAGCCGATGGATTCTCGGGAACAGGGCGACGACGAGGCATCTCTAAAAGAAAGGGAAGGAAAAGGTGTTCTCTCTTGAAAACCTGAGGAAGTTCCCCGAGGGTTTAAATCAAGACGTACCGACCGGATGACACCACCGTTCAAATCGGAAAACAAGAAGGCCAGGAGGACGATAAAGAAGAAGGTTGTGAAACTCACCAGAAGACGTCGGAAACGGAGTTTTTCAGGAAAAACTTTGAAAACGACTCGCACCGGAAGGACCAGGAGTCAACAATGGGTTTACTGACTGTGATTTTAAGAGAAGATGCTGTCGATGATGGCTGAGGAAACAGAAACTCCGGCGAAGCAGATCAGAAAAGGCGTATTCTGGGTCAGAGATCGGAATGGCAAAACAATGGAAACCGGAGAAGAACCCCCTTTATATAGGGGGGAAACTGTCATCATTGGGCGGGAGAACCAAAACGGCGCATTTAATGCGCACGACATCCCAAGACGGGGAAAGCTGCTCGAGGCCATAATGAAGGACGGATGGCAGTTGGAAAAACCCTTCGTCTCCTGACAACGCGTGTCCTCGGCGTCAGAAGATCGAAGGCTGGGGGGCAGTTGATGGGACTCTTCTGAAAAAGCCTATGATGAAGACACGTGTCCTCGAGGGTTTCTAGAACAATGTTGCTCGGGTTCAAGCACCATCGGCAAAAGCGTCCTCTCCCCCGAGGTACCACTCATATAGGATCACATATTCGGTACATTATACAATGACATGTGTCCTCGGTCGCCATGTACCTCGGGAACACACCACCCCATGGTCCCCCGAGGTGAGCCTTCCCTCGGCGCCGAGGGTCACTCCATCCTGGACGCTTCCTCTACTGCCGGATAAAGCTACTGACAAACTGGACATCAGCCTATGCCAGTATGGATTATTCATCATGACCTCTTCTTACACAAGTAATGTCAGAACGTGCTGGAATACCGACGTAACAGCCAATAAGGGATGGGCGCGTGGCAAATAATGTCACATCCGAAGCAGACAAACCGCATGCCGCTGTTGGCACGCGACTTTGGAAAGCAAACAATTAATTACACCCTTCTGTTGACGAGACCGCATTTAATGCGGTAAGGTTCGGATATGAAAGGCAATAAATGCTCCTATTACAGAGCATTTATTGCATCCTTCCCGAAAGGAGCATATTGTACTGTCGGCGTCCCGACAACTCACCATTGATTGCTCGGGACCCCGAGCAGTCAATTAGAGAAGACATTTCTCATCAAATGATTACACACGCTACCTGTGCCTGATGATCACCTACTGACCACACTGACAGCAATCATGATCTTCTAAGGTATAAATACCCCTCCCAAAAGACAAAGCGGGTATGCAATCTCAAACTCTCAACTACGAAATATCCTTATCAGTGTTTTCTCCTTCCTCTCTCTCATTCAAAGACTGACTAGACCGTCGGAGGGGATACGCCGGAAAACACTCCGGCGCCCTTCTAACTTGTTCTCCTTTGTTCCAGGAAATACCTTTCGCACGTACAGGATCGTTCCTCCTTTCCCAGGATCTCCCTTTGCCGTTTCCGGTTGCCACCGTACCTTGTAGGCTGTGTCAAGCAGCGTGTTTGGTTGCTCAACCGGCTCACCCAAAGTTCACCAGGGGAGAGATCTGTTCCCAATATTTTATATATCGTGCAGGATCAAGCCCGCACATTAACCCAATTAATAATCAGATGAATGTAAATTTAATTATACATGACTTGTACACCATACAATTCTAACCATACATAAGTTATAGTAGATCGTGTATGTATTTAGTAAACTTTAATAGGACTGACGAGGCACAACTTATTACTAGCCCTAACACGTCATCTAGGAATACAATTGAAATAATAGATGTTCAATGTAATAATAACATCATGCAATTGGAATAATTATAATTTTTTTTAATTTTTATTTTGGTCGCACTACTATGGGAAAATAAGAGAAGTCAAACCCTGCATCTACAGGTATAGATCTAGAGAGGGTTTGTCGACCCTCATGTGTTTTTTTTGGAACCTTGTGGTCGACCTTCATGGCTGAGCAGTCTGTAATTAACAAACAAAAAAAAAAAAAAACCTTAGTCACGTCCTCATCAAATAGATGTACTGGTTGGACGGTAATCTCACAAAATCCAACTGACAGCCTAATAATTGAAGCAGCCAGCTAGTGTCAGAAAATCGTCTTCATTGGTACATAGCACATCACGGGACACGGGCTGCCCCATTACAAAAAAAAATGTTTAGAATGGTAATAACCCGGACATTAACCCGGCAAAGGAACCGAGTCAATGACTTATTGGTTTAATTATTGGGTCATTGGTCAAATTGGTGATATAATAAAAAAAAAATATTAATAATGATAAATAGGCTAAATAATTATACTAATTATAAAGATAACATGTTTAATATATATTAAATCAAACAAACACCCAAAAATTATCAAACTAATACATTCAATTTCAATACATTGCCTAATATGCCGTTAATCAAATCAAATATGCTCTTAATTGCATAGTTCTTGAAATCAACTGCATAAGAATTGAACTATCATCACTTCCAACCATAGGAATGTAACTAACGTTGCCGGATACCAAGGCTACACAGTTTCTAAAGAGTTGAACATACCAATGCTATACATATTCTAAAGAGTTCAACACAAAGTATAATCAAATATTTGATTTCGCCCTACCGATTACCTGCATATTAAAAGGACATAAAATCACTTCCATCACAGCCGAAAGACTACGCCTATTATCAGATCATTGTCCACTCTATTGTCAATCTCATACCCACTGGAAGTTGATGGATTGAAGCACAAAAGAGACAGAGAAAAAGGGGAGAGAAGGAGAGAAACTCACTGGACTGGAATTACTAAAGTCGACAGGATTGCCTGTTGGAATCAATGGTCGCTGACTGGACTTTGGATCGTTAGTAATCGCTGCTGGAGTTGATCTCTGTTCAGTCGTTGGTGGTGGAGGCAGCTCAATGCTCAGTCGATTGTGTCGGCTGGTTTGGAACGATTAGGGCAAAACAAAAGTGTAAAAAAACACAAAATGCCCAAATGATGAAAAAATTTCAAATTTATGCAAATAAAATTAAACCAGCTGGTTTGATAAACTCGTCCAGTTCTCACAGCTTTACCCATTTTTGACCAGTTCAATGAGTTTATCTTGGGTTCTTTACATTAACGATCTTTTAATAGAGTCAGCCCGATTAAGAGACCGGTTTACCAGGTTGACCTGCCGGGAAAGGCCAAATTTTGAAACACTGATAATAACTACCGGAGCTATGAAGGTTAGCCTGACAATTCTTAGCACTATTTGGTAAATTTTAACTTTAACTAATTCAGGTTACAAATTATTTGACTCACCTGACTCATTTACTAATAAGTCAACACAAAACAGATCAAACATGATGAATATATATTGATTTAATACGACTTATATATGATACAAATCCGACATGATATAAACACAGCATTACACGATCCATTAATAGTCCTACTCGGAAAGTTGGAGATGTCCAAATATGGGTAATAATTGGAATAGCACATCCGGTTGTATTTTATGCTCTATATTCGTTTCTCCCTAAAGTTGGGGGGGGGGGGGGGGAAGGAGAGAAGTAGAGAGAACATATAGCAAAAAAGTAACATCAATAAGTGGTACTGCAAGACAAAATTGAAGGAGGGCGAAACAGATGCAATCTGTTGAAGAGTTAAGTTGGAATTTGTTGATCCATGTATTCTACAGCTTATTGCCTTTGATTGAATAGAACAGAAGCCAAGCCCACTGCCCACCAAGGTATCACAGAGGCTTCTTTTTTTTTCAGGTATAAGAGAAGGCAGACCAGCACGCAAATGACTGAGTGAAGCCTCCTCCTTGACACTCGCCTCCTAGGACCTGGCATAGATATAAGGACATAATGCAAATCCCAGCACAGCATTTAGAAGAAAATCCGTCTTTACTTCCCAGAAAAAAAAAAAGGAATTGACAATCAATCCCAAACACACACACAAGAGAGAGAGAGAGAGAGAGAGAGAGATGAAGTTGCTAGTCAAACTTGCTGACACGAAGATCAAGAACAGACTAACAAAATCACAATGATAGAATTGACAAGAAACAAAAATTTTCAAGCATTACCTTGACAACGAAGAAAATAGGCAAATATAACTGTTTACACATTAGACATTATATATTCTGCACAAAACAGAAAACTTTCAATTCTCCGAGGAGTACAAAAGAACCTTACATTCATAAGAAGAACTTGGGATACAATGGAGTTCCCAAGGTCCACCAATGCTTCGCATGTAAAGGTTACCTCAATATCACATTATGTGCATGTCTTTTTTCCTCTTAAAGGTTGTATCATTATCCTATTTAGAATTTTTGGAAAAAAATGAAATGAGAGTTAGTAATGTGCTATCTTTCTCACCACTTTCTACTACAAATAACTCTAAAAGTCATGCAGTTTCATTTCCTAAATCACAATTATTTCCTTGGCACCTGAATCTAAGTGCTTTCACCCATAATATACCACGGACGTGTATGTATATGTGTGCATGCTTGTACAGATGAACACTAACATAAAAAAGAGACAAAATGAGACTGCATGATTATACATACGCAGGAGGCAGTTGCCCTTCATATGCAAATGTTGAGATGCCCTGCCGTTGCTTCTGCTTGGGATTGGCTGAGCATAGTACATATACTCTCCCATGACGTTTGACTGTCCGACAAAACTCACACATCTTCTTCACCGATGATCGCACCTTCATGGCTACGGATAATAAAAAGCATCATACATTTTACACAATAACCAAAAGTTAGCAAATATTAATGGTAACAATTATGCAATTTTATCAAAAGATCATGTCTATCATCCTCATACAGACGCCGTAACATAATTGTGAAGTAGCAATACCTTACAGATAGAAGAGTAAAGCCTCCCACCAACCCACAGGAAAACATTAAACAATGAAACGAGCTCCATTGGGATTACATAACATTTCATTCAATGAATCAGTAACGAACCCCCCCATGAATATTTGTAATTAGAACTGAAACCTAATTGAGGTGTCCAAAGATATTTTTTCCTTCACTTCCCCTTCAAATCCAGGCACCTAGAGCACTTTACATGGAAATCAATTAGAAATGTTTCATTCTGAATGGAAACAAAAGGACAGTGGTAGGCATCTCCAAATCAGTATTTGCAAATACTTACTGCTCACATAAATTACAGTGAATTCCTCTACTTACCTTTGTGACCCTATTTTGGGTAATAAATTCTTACTTCAAGTCCAATGCAATGGAGTACCATCAAAATTCAAAGGGACGTTAATTATGCTTCTCACAGTTGAAGATAGCTGATCTAGTCTAATCCATGCAACACTCGGTTACCACTTAATTTTCTAGTGCTCCCTTGATTGCCAATTAGTTCTTATCAGGAACTCCAATTACTGTCAGGATCTAAGGAGTTATCCAGAGCAATTTGCCATGATTTCTTCCGATTCAGATGCGATCTACATCTCAAAACTGGTCACAACCACCTAATGTGGTGGAAAATCCTCCTCTCAAATGACTACCCGATGTCAGCTTTAGCAAGATGCACTTCTAATTGCACATACAGAACACATTCTCTTACTTTTTAAGCACACAAAACCAACCTAATTCTGGTTTAAAATAACACCAAGTACTTTCCATAAAAGCCACCAAACTGTACCAAGTTTCTCAGACAGACACGGAAATTACTCAAATAAATAGCCTCAACTAAGACATAGTTCCAAAAAAAACTGGTAATAAGTAGCCAAACCCAGAAACCCTTGATCCCTAAAATCCAAACTTAAAACTTCAACAACAATCATACACAAATTTATGTATAAAGGCAGCGAAAAAGTATGATTTATGTAGAAGCACATATCTGTGTGTGTGTGTGTGTGTGTGTGTGTCGAAATGAGAAATACCTGATTGATTCTAGAGGGCTTGGGACTTGTTCAGAACTGTTTGCTGTGATGCCCTAATTTGACGAATTCAGGAAGTGGCAATGGTGGATGAGCAACACAACACTGACCACTGATGGCAGAAAATGGGCATTGAAATGCTAGTTGGGCTGTAAGTCTGTATTCTTGGTCTTTTATCCCGGGCCTCTGACCTATCTATTTGAGCCATAAGCTATTCATATCTCTCTCTCTCAACTAGGGCTGTCACTGGATCATGTCATATCGTATTTTTAAGTCTCGTAAATTGTGGTGTGTCAAAATATACCAACTTATATTCAATTCATTTATTATTAACCAATTGAGCTTCCTCACTGTTAGTTACAATGAACCTCAACACATTGTAGCAGCTCAACAAAATCTAGCTAATCAACATATGTGAAACTGTTGTAACTAACTCCTATCCAGCTCAGCAAGATCTGTAACAGATTTGACAATTTGTTAGACTAAGAATTGTGTATAAATACAATATCATGTATAGAGTAAGTTGTAATGAAAAATAAATCAGCAATGAAAGTTCTATGTCTTCATCTTCTTCATCTTTCTGAAACTGTGTATTTCAACATGGTATCAGAGTTGTAAATTAGACAAACGTTTGTATCAATGGCAACAAATTCAGTAGGTACTTCTCCTTCATCATTTTCTTCTTCATCTTCAACTACTATAAACACAGTTTCATCAAAGTCTCCTATCTACCTTCTATCAAACATTTGTAACCTGATATATCTTCGTCTGGATTCTATAAATTATGTGTTATGGAGATTTCAAATCTCTGCACTGTTACGTGCTCATTCTCTTTTCAATTTTCTTGATGGATTAAATCCATGTCCAGTGCAATTTCTTTTTGATGGAAATGGTACAGTTACTACCGAAATCAATCCACAATATCAGCAGTGGATTGTCCAAGATCAAGCACTAATGACACTAATAAATGCTATTCTCTCACAGTCAGCTATTACACATGTTATAGGATACACAACTTTCGGAGAAGTTTGGCTAGCTTTGGAAAGAAGGTTTTCTTCTTTATCTCGAGCAAATATTTTATAGCTTAAGACTGTTTTGCAAACAATTATGAAAGGAACAGAATCCATAGATGAGTATTTGCAGAAAATAAAGGAGTCTCAAGATAAGCTTGCAGCAGTTTCAGTTCTGGTAGAAGATGAAGATCTGCTTATATACACCTTGAATGGATTGCCAGCTGAGTACAGTGCCTTCCGAATTGCAATTCGAACCAGATCACAATCACTTTCTTTGGAAGATTTGCACTCTCTTCTTAAGGCTGAAGAACTATCCATCAAAGTTAACTCAAAGTCACAAGTGAGTTATTTCAATCCTACTGCCATGATGGCACCACAAATTAGACAGCCCTTTTATAACAACAATGGTAGAAACTACTCAAGTCAAGGACGAGGAAACAGAGGTCGTAATGGTAACTGAGGAGGCAGAAATCAGAATGGTTACAATAATAGATTCAACACACAGCAGCAAAGGTCTAACTCAAATCAATACAACCAAAACAGATCTCCACCAGTTACTTGTCAGATCTGTAACAAAATTGGTCATAATGCTGCAATTTGTTATCATCGCATGAATACTGCTTATCAGGGCCAAAATCATCAATCCTCAGCTTCATTCAATGCTATGACTGCTACCTTAGACTATTCTTCTAATCAGCAGTTCAATCCCAATGACTGTACACCTGAATTTTCACCCTACACTACTATGGCTGCTACATCTGGTCAACAGAGTCCAAATTTTTGGCTTATTGATACTGGTGCTTCCCATAATCTCACTTCAAGCCTTGTAGATATGTCTCTTGCTTCTCCTTATTTTGGTGAAGACAAAGTGTCTATTGGAAATGGACATGAGTTACCTATCACTCATACAGGTCTATCTCTTCTTCAAGCTCCTTCTCACTGTTTCAAACTTAAAAAAGTCCTTCGAGTACCTTCAATTGCTACAAATCTCATCTCTATCAAACAACTATGTCTTGATAATAATTGTCAATTCATATTTGATGCTACTTCTTTTGTCATTCAGGACAAAGCCACAGGGCAAGTCCTCTACAAAGGTCAGAGTAGCAATGACTTGTATCCCATCAATGCTCTCACTAATTTCAACTCCTCTCTTACTGCATATCTTGATACAAGGATCACTGATTAGTCTTGGCATGATCGCCTTGGGCATCCATCTACTTCCGTTCAGCAAAAGATTCTTTCTCAACTGAATCTACCTACTTCTTCTGGTAAATCTACTTCATGTATTTGTGAACACTGTCTATATGGGAAGATGTCTAAGCTTCCTTTTTCTCTTTCTAAGTCTTTTTATATGTCTTCTTCACAGATTGTACACAGTGATATTTGGGGGCCTGCACCTCATGTTTCACTTCATGGTTTTAGATATTACATCTCATTTGTTGATGATTGTACCCGATTTACATGGATTTTTCCATTAGTAAATAAATCTGATGCCTTTGTTGTCTTTGCCAAGTTCAAGCCTTATGTTGAGAATCAATTTTCTCATAAATTGAAAGTGTTTCACTCTGATGGTGGTGGTGAATATATTGGTCATCAGCTTCAGCACTATCTAAGTCAGTATGATGTTCATCATATAAAATCCTGTTCTCACACCCATCAACAAAATGACATTGCTGAGAGGAAGCACAAACATATTACTGAAACTGCTTTGTCTCTCTTGTCTAAAACATCTTTGCCTCCATCCTTCTGGTTTCATGCATTTGCTGCAGCCACTTATCTCTCATCAATAGAATGCCTAGTCAAACTACAAAATCCAAGTCACCTTTTGAACTTCTCTATCACACCAAACCAGATTATTCAACTCTTAAAATCTTTGGATGTGCATGTTATCCTCTTCTCAAACCTTATAACAACCATAAACTTCAACCTAAAACAACCTAATGCATTTTCTTAGGTTATCCTTTTGATTACAAAGGTTACCTCTGCTATGATCCTAAATCCAACAAGATCTTTATCTCCAGACATGTAATATTTGATGAAACATTGTTTCCCTTTTCTGATTCTGTTCACTTTCTACAATTTACCCCTCCTAATCTTGATCATTGGTTGCCTTCTTCTTCTAATGACACATCCTCATCTCTAACCTCAGTGTTGGGACCACATCCTTCCCCTGTCCAGCATGATGTGTCTCCTTTTCTTCTTAATCATTTATCTTCAGTCCAACAATCCTCTCAGTCTTCAAGTTCAATTCCACCATCTTCTCTTTCTAATGTCGTATCACCTACTACATCACAGAGCCCTGTACTCACAGAGTCTTCAGTGTCTATACCTCCAGTTTTACCTCCATTAGCCACAATTCCTTCTACTCATCCCATGACAACAAGATCTAAGTCTAGTATTTTCAAACCAAAGGTCTACTCAACTACTACAATTTTGGCTGAACCTACCTCATTTACCTCAGCATCCAAGTCTCCTGAATGGAGATAGGCTATGTCCGAAGAGTTTTCTGCACTGCAGCAGCAAGGTACCTGGTCCTTGGTTCCACCATCTCCTCATCAGAATCTTATTGGTTGTAAATGGGTCTATCACATTAAACAAAATTCTGATGGTTCAATCTTTAGATACAAAGCAAGACTTGTTGCTAAAGGCTTTCATCAAGAACCTGACATTGATTACAGTGAAACTTTTAGTCCTGTGGTGAAACATGCCACTGTCAAACTCATTCTTGCTCTTTCTACAAATTTTAATTGGCCTCTCCACCAGTTGGGTGTCAAGATTGCCTTTTTACATGGTTCTCTTCATGAG